TCTAACTGATGTAATGGCCAATTCTGAAGAGATGCAACTGCTAAAAGAGTCCGAACAGTTGACATTTTGGCAACAGGGGCAAATGTCTCACTGTAGTCCACCCCATACTCTTGGGTAAAACCTTGAGTAACCAGTCGAGCCTTATATCGATCAACCGTACCATCAGGATTCATTTTGACGGTATAAACCCAGTGACAGCCGACCACCGAAGTTGAGGAAGGGGGGCGAGGAACCAAAGTCCATGTGTTACTCGCATGAAGAGCATCTAATTCACGACGCATGGCTGCGTCCCACACAGGATCACCCTGAGCCTGACGATAGCGGGTAGGGACTACAAAAGAATCAACCCCATAAGCATGATAATCATGAAAGCGTATAGGTGGAATACCTTTCGTCGTGCGATCAGAACGACGTGGAGCAGGAGCATGGGCCGAGCCCGACGAGGCCAGCGAGGGAGCAGAGGTCGAGCTGGACGAGGCCGAGGGACTGGAAGAGCCCGCGGAAAAAATAGGCGTGCCGGATGATGAAGCAGACGAGGTCGGTGAAGAGGATCCAGACGCCGAAGACAAAGGAGACCCACTGGGGCCTGAAGACGAGTCTGATGAAGACGAATGCAGCAGGGGGGAGGACAGATCGGGCTCAGGAGTATCGGGAGGTTGCACTGGGCGGGAAGACCTGATCATCATCATCACTGAAATGAGGAAGAGGAACGCCGGGTGCCAGGAGCTGAGATGGGGCGGAGGGTTTGGTGTAAAACATGATGTTCTCAAAGAAGACAACTGAACTTGCAATGCGCATACGTTGGGACAATGGGTCATAACATAAATAGCCCTTGTGAATATCATTATACCCAAGAAACACACAATGAGCAGTTTTGGAAGACAGTTTGGTACGTTCGCGTTTTGGGAGTAGAACAAAGCATAAACACCCAAAAACACGAGGTCGAGAGTAACTAGGATGACGAGAGTAAAGAGCAAAAAATGGACTAGTATTCTTCAAAACTGGGGTGACCTGATAATTAATTAGTCGAACTGCAGTAGCAACAGCTTCAGGCCAGAATTTATCAGGAACATGAGAAGCTAGTAACATAGCTCTCGTGAGTTCCATCACATGGCGATTTTTACGCTCTACTAGTCCATTTTGCTGCGATACCCCAGGGCAGGATTGCTGTGTTAAGACACCAAGAGACCGATACACATCATACAAAGGAAAGGAGCTAAATTCCCCACCAGGATCGGAACGAATAATTTTCACTGGGCGACCAAACTGAGTGTGAACCATTGTCAAAAAATCAGTGGCCACATTTTTAAGTTCAGATTTAAGACGAAGAAAATACACCCAGGTAAACCGAGTGGCATGATCTATGAACAAGGAAAAATATCGGAAGCCACGACGTGAGATAGCTGGAGAAGGGCCCCAGAGATCAGTATGGATGAGATGAAAGGGTTCTGAAATGATGGTGGTACTGGGAGGATGAGATGAACTAATGGTTTTAGCTTCTACACAGCTTGTACAAGAATGTTTTGGCAAAGAACGAACATCACATTTATCAAGTAAAGACTGACGAAACATTTGTTCAAGACGACCAGAATGAGGATGACCAAGACGGGAGTGCCAAAGATCCCAAACATCATTATTCGACACACTTGAAAAACAAACAGAAGATGATGAATTCAACGGAAAAGACAAAGATTTTGACGGACTACCGACAAGCCTATGTAAAGGACTACTGACATTCGACGAGGGATGGCACCCGTGTAGCACCTCCAAATGAAAAAGTCTTCCCCGCTTACTCCCTTTTCCGATCTGCCTCCCCGTCTTCAAATCCTGTACAAGACATCCAGTTGGCGCAAACAACACAGAACAGCCTTGCTCAGTAAGCTGACCCACAGATACTAAATTGGGAACCAAATTGGGAACATGAAAGGTATTGGGTAAAGACAAATTTTCATTAGTCATCATTCCCGATCCTTGTACCTTCAATGTTCCACCATTCGCAACACTCAAAGACATCTCATCAACAGGAACAAGATTCGTTAAACTAGCAGACTGAGATGTCATATGATTGAAACAGGCTGAATCAAGTAACCATGGAGAATTATTACCTGAGCTTTGGAAGGTGGCAAAGGCAGAACTGATGGCCGTGGGTAAAGATTTCTGGAGAGCAGCATTCACTAATTGCTCGACGGTGGCGGCTGTAATCGCCCCGCTGCCTGTACCACTGCCATTTTCCAAGAGCACAGCCGAGTGAGCCGACCGATCAGCTGGTTGTCGCCACTGTTGCTCCGGGCGAGGTCCATTGCCGCGCGAAGAGCGCTCAAGGTATGAAGAAGCTCGGCCTCCCCCAGCACCAGGCGCACCTCCAGAAGCATTGCGCGCTTCATTTCGTTGCCGAGTACGGCATTCCGAAATTATGTGGCCAGAGCGTTTACAGTATATGCAATTGTTCCATTGTTTACAAAGCTTCTTTGGGTGGCCTTTCTCATGACAAAAATGGCACTCAATTTCAGAGGACATACCACGGTTGTGAAATTGCGGACGATGGACCGCAAAGGCCGCCGATTCTTGAGAGGCAGCAGCAAAAACAGACTCACTTTCATGAGGGCGCACATCAAGTTGCGCCTGCGTTCGGAGGCGGGTTTCTTCTCGGACGAGAAGAGGAATGATGCCATCAAACGTGAGGTCCTCCTTATTCAGCAACGTGGACCGGACAACTTCAAATTCAGGCCTAAGCCTCATTAAAAACGTGAGCAGGCGGTTTTGTTGCCTCTCGAGAATGGCATCGGCTGAAGCAGGTTGGGGACGAAGCGCTGCGGTCACAATATCTTGTTCAGTCCACAGTTCTTGAGCGAGGTTGAAGTATTCAGTGATGGAGTGATCTCCTTGTTCCAGACGAGCCAAGGAAAGCTGGATTTCAAATTGGCGGGCCGGATTGACAGTAGAATAGGTCCCGGTCAGATGGCGCCACATCTGATGAGCAGTAGGGAACAGGCGGAGACTTAAACAGGTTGAGGAATCAACCGATCCCAAGAGGAAGTGTCGGACGCGTGCATCGCATTGCCGCCAGTCGGAGATTTCTTTCGCCGGAGCTGTGGCGGCCGGAGATGGAGCTGTTCCATCGAGGATACCCAGTAGACCTTTGCCTTCAATGAACACCTTGAATTGGAATTCCCAGAGTGCGAAATTGGTGGATGTCAAACGAACCGAAGGGCGATCAGATTCCATTGCGTGAGGCTCTGATACCATGACAATCAATCGGAAATAACGAAATTGAAAGAACATGAACACCAAGATTTACGTGGTATCCCTGGAGAATCCAGGACTAATCCACGGAAGAGGTAAAACTCTTCAGCTGCTAACGAGATTATGTGTATGAGTTGTGTGTCCTCAACCTACTGCCGCTAACTACATATATACAACCCTTAAGAGGGCAAATCCCCAAACCCTAAGCATCTACCCACGTCCGCCAGCATGGGCTTCATGGGTTCGTTGTCCAAGAGACTAGTCCAACTACAAGTTACATGGGCTACGTAATTAACAGGTAATTAAATGGGCTTTGACCCTGCTAACATGAATAAAACGTCATTATTAAATTATTTTAATAAATAATTTATATATCTTTGTAAAATATTAAATACAATATGAACTATTATCACATTTAATTCCTGCAATTAGCATTAATGGAATTTTTAAATATTTATATTAATGTAATTTGTGAATATTTACATAAAAAATTTCTTGTTTCTATTAAAAACCACTACCTATTCAATTGCAGTTCGTGGAGAACAAGTGAACAATTGCCAATTAATAGTACTAATCAATTCCAGTGAACCCATCTAATTATATTCACCCGAGGAAAAAACTCATATATATAGTTATAAATTATATTGTAAATGAAAACCAATATCCCACCTCCATTAAAAATAATACAATAGATTTTCATTGAAAAAAGAATAACCGTCTCTATCTTCCTCCTCCGGTACCGTCAATCTCCCCCCTTCTCGATTTATCCGCTCCCAATTCTCCTTCCTCCGAGGTCGCCGGTCATCACTCATTGTTCCCAAATTACCCGCCAGCGCCTCGATTTCATCTTCATCTTCCGCCCCATAACTCTTTAGCTTCCTTCATCACTTCATCTCCGCTTAACAGCTTTAGGCGGCCGCCTCTGTTCCTCCGTCATGACGGCGTAGACGAAAAAGAGTAGCTCTTGGTAGGAGATCATCGAAATCAGATCCAAGCTACTCTCCTCGTAGTCTTTTCTTTACCGTTCCCAATTCCTTCAGAAAACCTAGGGAGAGAGACAATCAGAGTTTGGACTGCATGTCAAGGATGATACATATATTCTCTCCAGTAGATTGATCCACCTGCTGATCCCCAACAATGCAGCCCAGATCTTCTAACCCTTCAAAGGATTGAATAACATCAGCAACCGTTGTCGGAAGGAGAAGATATTTGTCTTCTCCCCTGCCTGCCAGTATATCACCATCGCCGATAACAATCACGGTGGAATCCGCGCTCTTATTTCAAGAGTTCGCGCTCCGGCGATACCAAATTCACGAATTTGGAACGTTTCACTGAAAATTCGCGTTTTTGCGAATTAGCGCGGGAGCGCCGGGGCAACTTGCGCGAATTGGGTAACATAAGTTTGGCCAAAACCTTTTATTAATATTTTTTTATTGTTTTTATTTTCCAACGTCATTGCCGCCAGTCCCGCAACATTGTCTTTGGAGGAAACTATTCCACCCTTAGGAAAGCAGTCCTGCAGCGCCCATCAATCATTCTATTTGGGCCAAACTGATTTCGCACGAGATTGTGTGGCCAACACCACTGCTTTGCCGAAACCACTAGTGTTCTGATTTTTTTTATAATGTATTATGTGGCCTAACTTAGCCACATTATTTATTAATAGCGAAATTAAAAACAAGCTAGACTTTGGCATAAATCATCATGCCAAATGTCCACACCCACTGCCAACTCCACATATCAAACCAAACAAGCCATCAGTGAACAGTATGACTTGTCACAGCCGGCTTTACACGCGACTGAAAATTTTTGAAGTCATAGTTGGATCTAGTTCGAACATCCTTGTTCGAGACTCCACGATCTCGATTTGGCCTCAACTCAGGTTTGGGCCAATGAGAACTACATGTATTATTTTCTCTAGGTAGTGAACCCACGTCTTTTGGCGCCTTTGTCCTGCTAAATCGACCATGCGGCATTGCTTGCCCAGACTGGTCTGATTTTCTCAACTGCACATTCTCACCATATTGTTGGAAGTAACGCTTGCGAGCTCCACCAACACGTATGTAAGTGCCATGATCTTTTGCATTTCCACGTGAGATTGAAGTTTTTCGGGCATTTAGCTTGCCCCCCTGCTCGAAAATCATGGAAGACTTGTTCCCAGCCAGCATTGGCGTGGCAACCCCATGTTGGGGTTGATTGAACTTGCCCCCATGTCCACTCAGTGGAGGCTTTGGAGACAAATTAGAATGAGGGTTCTGTTGATTCATGCCCATTTTGGTGGCATTAGATTTTTTCACGTGGTCACCACCTCCATCTTGAGTAGTGTTTGTGGTTATCCTAGTTTGATTTTTCATAGAATGGGGTGGATGTGGCAAACTTATTTGCCACTTACGGTGTTGTTTTTCTTTCAACCCGCCAGGCGGTGGGATCTCATGCCCCCCTAGCGGCTTAGATTGAACACCATTGCGATGTTGCTTGGACAACCCATCATAAGCAAGCTTGCTATGCTCAACGTGATTGTAACCAGATTGTCCACCCTGATTCTTATTTTCATTCTTATTAGAAATATGTTGATACTGACCTCTTTGTAGTGGCTTCTGCAAGCCACCTCCAACTTGTGTGTCCTTAAGACCAATGTTGTTCATTGGAAAAGACACATTGGGATTCCTTGCTTCTGGCAACAGTGTCGTAGCCAGGCTCATCGATGGAATTTGGTTGACCATGGCTAGTCGATCAACCATTAAATCATCGCACGCAACAGACATGGTTTTAGATTTAAACACATCAAAATCATACGTGGCTCTATGTATTGACATACTAAAATCAGAAACACAGTCATCCAACTTATCAAACCATCGATCTATGTTGTTTTCAAACTTATCCATTTTCTTTTCAAGTTTATCAAATTGGAGATTTACCTCTTGGTGAAACTCCTTCATGGATTGGCGAAACTCCTCCATGGATTGACGTAGATACAGGATTTCAGCATGTAGCAGCTCCTCCATCCTTTGAGTGCGTCTATCTGCCTCGTTCGCCTGACCAACTTCAATGTCGGGCGCCTCCTCCTCCACAGGTACGTGGGGAAGATCACGATCTTGATTTCCTCGACGCGGAGCCGTATTCACATCAAACACACGTGTCCCACCGGGTGTGCCAAATTGTTTCGTCGGGAAAACCAAATGCCACCGCCGGTGCCGAATTCGGCGATGTTGATTTGATATTTCGCGGTGGAAACTCTTGCGGTGCCATTTGATCGAATGCACCGCTAATTGCTGAAATCGAGACGACCGTCAAATATCCGCCGCCGAATGTCGGAGCCGTTGATTTGATCGATGCACCTCTAAATGGTGAAATCAACGTGACCGTCAAATATCCACCGCCGGGCGGTGTTGATTTGATCGATGCACCTCTGACTTCTAACCAAGAACGACCGTTACTACGGTTCGCACCTCTCCAAACTACGTTCGAACGAGGGTGTTTGAGTTTTGAGGAATCTACGCTACCGCTACTCCTATGGAGATTCCTGTGGAGAGCTCCGCGACTACGACTAAGACTACAACTATGGAGATCCTTCCTGGAAGGAGAGCTCCACGAAGGAGTTACAGAGAAAAGGTAAAGTCTTGACAGAGTTGTTCCTGTGTTGATTTGGTTGTCCTCTTTCTCTCTCTTTGCTCCACTGCTTTTATTCGAAAAACCGCTTCGTAGTCTTCACGCTGGGTGGAACCGCTTCCTCAACTACTCCGTTGTGAACTCCCACGTGTCTCAACCGTCTTGATCTCCTTTTCGCTCGGTTTGGTGTGAATCTCACGCGATGTCGTTTTCTTCCCCAAACAACTATGTTTGCTTTTTTACTCCACGACATTGTTTTATATTAAACACTGTCGTTTGCTAATACAGCGGTACCGTTGGACTTACTCGCGGTACCGTTTTTAATTAAACGACACCGCTAACATAGCCAAAAAAATTCCATGAAACCGCCGCCAAACGGCGCTCGCATTGGACTAGGCAAATTTTGGTTTAATTAATCGGTACCGCTTATCAGCCTCTCGCGGCATCGTTTTTAAATCCGCGGTACCGTTTTAACTCTCGGCGATACTGCTTGTCTCCATGCGGTACCGATTTTCCCCTTCCAACAAGGAATAAAGATAATAATTGATTAGAAAAAACTCCTTTTTCAACACCCAACTAAACGCGCGGCCCCCTTTTGTTTTCCAGTAAACGGTGTTGTTTCCGGTGCCGCGGTACCGCTGAGCTTCCTTGCTGTACCGTTTTTGTTTCGCGGTATCGTTTTAACTTACCGCGATACCGCTTGTCGCGGTGCCGTTTTTAGCCAAACGACACCGCTTCCCAGTCTCGCGATGCCGTTGAGCTTTGAGGTTCGCGGCACCGTTTTATCTCTTCGCAGTATTGCTTGACTTCAAACTTGTTGTTACTCTCCTCCTGCGACAAGGAAAAATAAAATAAAAATATTCCTTGTCCAACAACAACACATGTCCTGCGCATGACTCACACATGGTCTGCAACCAATGTCGTTTCAAATACCGCGGTACCGCCGAACCTCTTTGCGGTCTTGCTTAAATTCTCCGCGGTATTGCTCGACTCCAAACGACATCGTTTTGGCCATGCGACATCGAATTAAATGCCGAGACTCATTATTACGGCATTGAACTTAGGCCAAAAATAATTTTAGGTGTAAACACCACTGTAGTTATCACCAACAATATACGTTCATATACAAAATCATCATCATCCCAAGCCTAAAGCAACAACTAATACATATAAACAGGGCTGCTGTTGTTAATCTCATCATAATCTCCATCATTACTGCTGCTATTGGATGATGATGATCGCAAAAGGTGAGATTTGAGCTTGTTGACATATGATAATTGAACCGGCTTAAGGAAGAACTCTTGAGCTCCTTCTTCTAGCTAGGCACCTGTTGATTCTGGAGGGTACATTCTCTGAAGACATGATCACAATTGGAATGTCCATGAAAGACTCGAATTCCTTGATTCTTCTAAGGAGATCATAGCCGCTCATTCCAGGCATAGAGTAATCAATAATGATCAAACTAATGTCATCGTTGGCAGCAGAAGCAGGGCTGAATTAGAGTAATCATCAGTCTCGTCCCCATCTTCACTACTGTGGTGGTTGTTGTTGTGCAGGCCAAGAAACTCTAGTGCCTTGCTCCCAGAATCAACTGCTGTCACTGCCAAACTACTGTCGTGGATTCGAACGCAACGGACCACCGCCGCCGTGGTTCAGCACCCGATTTCCGACTCCAACGACCAGAGCCGTTTCAGCAAATTCACCACATCCGAATTCTACGCCAAGCACGGTATCTCCACCACTCCGAGCACCGGAACAACTCCCGCGGCTTCAAGCTCTTCACCCAGTGGTGGTCCCCGCTCCCTCCCGCCGACAAAATCGGATTCATCGCGTCGTCCACGGGGCGAGTCCAGCTGGTTCCTCCAGCTCACCTCCATCCTCTTCGCCAAACACAGCTTCCTCGTCTGCGCCATCGACCACCACCAGGGCCACGGCTTCTCCGACGCCCTCATCCACGTATTTCAGACTCGCCAAGGTCCTGCAAGAAGCCGGCGCTTCCGAGTGCATGTCGTCCGTCGCAGGCTCCTACGGCTACATCGAACGGGAGGAGAAGCGGTCGCTGGGGAATGGTATCGGAGTAGATCGAGAGAGACAGGTAGGGATTGAAATTTTATTTATTAATTTTAATTTGGTTAAATTACACGTTTGGTCAATTAATTTTACAAATCTTTCACGTTTGCCACTCGAATTACTTTTCTTTCTAATTCGCCACTAACTTTACAAATCGTTCCACCATTAGTCACCGGCCGTTACACTCTGTTAAATTTGTCCTACGTGCCAGTCAACTATAAAGTTTGACAGTTAAGTAGATGAGGTGGAAATATAAAAAAATTAAAAAATTTATATTTCCATCTCATCTTTCCTACGCTTGTCTTTGATCGTCTTGGAAATTTGCAGTCGTCGGTCGAATGGAGAGCTGCCGCCTTCCTCCGACCATCGTTCTCCATCTCCAAATCTCATCGTCAGTCACAATCTGTTTGAAATTTGTCGTTGCCCTTTTCAACTTAAGATCCGGTCGCGGGTCTTCGTCTCCTCATCAGTAACCAAAAAACAGGCAGATTTAGATCCAGATCCAAGGAACGAACGAAGACGGTGAAGCCGGACCATGGGTTCTCAAACCCATAAGACAAGGAGGCGGCGCATCGAAAAATCAGTGCTCCCAATTCGTCGACCCATTGAGAAGCGAGTTGATGCTATTGGTTCTCAATCTTTCCCCACTTGCAGAAGAGAAAGCGCCAGAACTGGAGGCTCCACAATTCATCTTTGCCTCGAATCCTTCCTCCGTCTGGAGCGATCTCACGTAATCGCCCAGCAGCCCCGCCAATTCTGGAAGCTCCCCTGCCCCGACTCGTCTATCCAGGCGATCGCCCACTAGACCACCGTCCCGATCGTGTCCCCGTACAGTGGTGGGTCGGTCATCCCCCACAGGTTCCCGCCTCCACCAGGACTGAAGTCCTCGGCGTCCTTCCGGCGAAAAATTTGGAGGCCGCCATGCTTGGTTTCCATCTGAAGTAAGACACCACCTCCACTCTCGAAAGCTTGATTGCTTTCCTCCCCTGTTTTGACTTTGCCCTCCGCCGCCGCCCGACGCCAAGGCTCTCAATTTTGAGGTTGAATTGGAATCGAACACGAATCGCCTCGTGACGTAGTTCCCTTCCGTGAACCAAATCTTTCCAAAACGATCGAAGACAAGCATAGATTGTCGTGTGTCGATTATTATTTTCTGTATTTTATTTAATTTTTATTATATAATTAATATGATAGATCGTATAGACAAAGTGATGAAGTGGATTTTTTTTAATTTTTTTAAATTTTCACGTCATCTAGTTAAAGGTCAAATTTTATAGTTGACTGCCACGTAGGACAAATTTAACGGAATGTAACGGTCGGTGACTAACGATGAAATGATTTGTAAAATTAGTGGCTAATAAGAAAAAAAAGTAATTCGAGTGGCAAACGTGAAAAATTTGTATAATTTAAGTGACCAAACGTGTAATTTAGCCATTTTAATTTGTTATATTTAGTTAGTTTTACCTTTTTGTCCTTGTTGTTACAGTAACAACAAAATGAGTGTTGTTATTCTATCCGAACTCAGGTATCTTCCACTAACCTTTAGATAATCTCACTTTTCGAGGGAATTATATTATATATGTCAATTTAATTATAATACTGCCTTCTCACAAAAAAAAAAAAAAACTATGCTACTACCTAGCTATGTCGTAGCAAAATAGGAATAACGGCCCAAAAACAACCCAAAACAACTAAAATAACAGCCGCCACCCTCAAGAGACCCGTTAAGTCATACTACGAATGCGCTGCCAGCCATCCGCCCTAGCATACTCCGCATCAATAACGGCGCCGTCACTCACCGAATACTCGCTCAAAGCGGCGTCGTCGTCCTCCATCTTCACCGGCCGTCCTCCGTCGGCGGCGGATCTGTACAGCGTGATGTCGTCCCTAACGAACACGGGCCACTTGCTCCTGATCTCCTGCTTCAATTCCCCAACCGTGTCCCTCTCCAAGCAGCTGATCCTCAACTCCCGCCCGGGGAACAACGCCGCCGACCTCACCGTCACCTCGATCGAACCGCGGAAATAATTTATGGTGGCCGCAGCGCGTTCCCTGACGCGCGCGCCGTTAGTGCATGATTCATGGAGACCACCGCTGCCGGCGGCGGCATCGTCCTCCGTGATTACGCTCTCCCCGCCGGGAACCATATCAGTTCTCCTGTAGGCCATTGGGGAGCAAGCTAAATTCCTATTTAATAATAATTAACTTTAACTGGCAGCTTTTTTTTATCGTATTAATAACTGGGAGCTTAAATTCTTAATTAAGCGGTCTCCGAGTGGAATTCTAGGTAACAAATTAAGTAATTTTTCGGGTTTAAAGATATGTGTTAGTTCGAGATTGCAGAATTTATCGTCTTCATAATTGGAACTAAATTTAAGACTCATAGTTTTAAGGAAAATTAGCTGTAGCTACAATTAAGTTTAAATTATCTGTGCGATGTGATTATCAATGATAATGTCGTTTTTTCTTTCTTTCAAAATATGGATTTTGTTACATCCTTATCATTCATTAAAATCAACCGTGTTCCAAAAAAATCTCCTACTTACAGTTTTTTCTCTCGTTTAGCGAGGGTCTTTTTGCTTTTGGTTTTCTGAGAAAATCAAGGTTTTTAACTCTTGATTAGTGTTGGAAGGGGATTAGTTCTCAACTTCGATAGATTATTAAGACGGATGTCTAGTGGTAGAAAAAACAATATTGTGGGAAGCTTTGTTTGGCTGATGAAGAAGGAAACCCTAACTCTGCTTCTTGCGATTAGGGTTCTCAGAGAGAGTTTCCTGCAATTAGCTGTTCCTAATTAATGAATCTCGTCTTTGTTTATACAAGAAACCCTAATCTGCCTCCTGCGATTAGGGTAAGTGAGAGATTTGTTTACTTTCAATATAGTAGAGTTGGAGCTGTTACAACAAAACGTGTTGTACAAGAAATATGGGGCACGAAAAAACAATTAAACTTGCGGAGACAATTGAGTTGGAAGAACAAAATAAAAATCAAACCGTTTGAATGAGATTGCTGCTATGGAAAGGGCGTGTGAGCAACAATAGAAAGTCATTCTCGAACCATAGACAACCCCATGGGGGCTCACCTCTCAAATTCATAATGTCACCACCCCTAGGCCCTAAGGAAGAACCATTGGCAATTGGAGAACAAGACACTTAGACTCAATCCTGGTAAGAGTGGTAAGGATGATGGGAATGGTTGGACGACGGGTAGCTACAAAAGCACAAAACATTAAATTCATGAAGATAGCTCTAAGTAAAGGTTGGAACTTAAAGCAAAGCTTCCAAATTACAAAAACCCGAGTGAACAATTGTTTGCTTTCCAGTTTCTAGAACAAATTAAGTGTTGGAGACAAGGTAATCTTTGGTGGCCCTTGGGACTGTGAGTATAATCTCCTACTATTCAAGACTGTTGATATATTCCACAGCCCAAAAGTTGAGGATTTCAATACAATGGATATATGGATTATGATATATATTTTGTTATAAATGCGCTGCTACGAATCGGGAAATCGTCGGAATCGATAAAGCAAGAATACGAAAGCGAGAATCGAAAAACAGAGACACACGATTTACGTGGTTCACTAACACGATGTGTGTTAGCTACGTCCACGGGCGAGAGAGAGCCAGTTTCACTATATCGAGGAGATTACAGATTACATAGGAGTATGAGAAGTATTTATAGTACTTCTCCACGTGGGTCTAAACCTAATCCAATCTGGCAAAGGAAACGGTTACAGACCAGGCCCAGAACCCGAACCCAAATAACATTGAGCCCATACACCGTGGGCCCCTGGACCCCACTCTCTGACCGGGCAGCGAGACCCCCGACTACCAGTCGTAGCGCCTGATAGTCCGATTCAAGTCACATCAACATATTTCTACCTCTAGCCCTAAAAACTAATGAGATGACGCATAAGATAGGAGAACGTTTTGGCAAAGTTAATATGGTTGGATAACCACAGTGATTGTATATGTGATGATATTTTAAGGTTGTGGATTGAGAAGGATATAAGAACACCTTTGAAACCAGAGCTCAAGCTTAAGGTCCAAGATGGCACAACAACGTTGGACATAAAACACAAGAAATTACCTTGGTTCTGTTTTGACTGTGGTTGAGCGGCACACCCGTAGATTGCTTATAGCTATCCAATTGCTATAGACCACGCCTTGTATGATCAAGATTTGTGGGTCGAGCCACATGAAATCACAGCTAGAAAAGGAAGAACATGGAGATTTATGAAATGCATTGAGGGCAAAATTTGATAGGGAATGCGTGACAGAGAAGGCTCGATTAGAAGAAAAAAGGAGATGGAAAAACCAATAAGGCATGATAAGTCAGAAGAACTTAAAGGACAAGACGAGTACAAATTATTTTAAGAGATGGAATAGATGGGAAGAAACTCAAAGTTTCCCCTCAGCCTAATATATAAAAGAATCATAGAAGGGCTCAACATAAGAAATTTAGAATTTTAATAGACTACAGAAAGGGGTGAATGGACACTAAAAAGGCTAAAAGAGAAATTAGCATGGTAAAGGAAACCGTACCGGAAGTCATACTGGCTCCGCCAGTGGTAGAGTATTTTGTTGTACTACCGTGGTTCAATCGTCGTGTATCGGCAAAATACCGTTTTTGTAATTAAATAATATTTTTTTGTTAAAAAACCGTACCAACATATTTGTAATACCGTTTCGGAATAATACCGGAATAAAACCGGAATATACCGGATAACAAACCTGAATAAACTAAATAAGCCTTCCTCTGCCGCCTATTTCCGTCGGCAACTTAGATCTACCTCCCAATCTTCTGTTTCCTACCCTACCGGCCCCTCCAGTTATCAATTTCCCTCTTTTTCCCCCTTTCCAAAACCCCGATTTCGCCCCGACGTGCTGAGTCGCGACCGCCGCACGAATTCGTCGAATTCCCTCGACAATTCTCCCGGGTAAAGCTGATGGGGGTAATCGGATTCACCCGTATTTCCATTTCTCTACCTGTTGATGGACGCAATTAGGGTTCGCGACAGTGATCTCGCGAACAAGCCGAGCTCGTCGACGTCGCAATCCCCTCTCTCGGTGACGACCTCCACCTCGAGGAACGAGACCATCAATGGCTCCCACGAGTTCGACATCAGTGGCTACTCGCTGTCCAAGGGGATGGGCGTCGGCAAGTACATAGCTTCCGAGACGTTCTTCGTCGGGGGTTACGCTTGGGCCATCTACTTTTATCCCGACAGGAGGATCGCCGAGTCGAGAATAGATCCAATGTCGCCAGCAGCAGCAAACGAAGCGGCCGATGATTTAGGGTTTTGTTTTTGAGGCTTCGGCCGATTTTTTTTCCCCTAATGCCAAAACGACGCCATGTCGTTTCCATAAGCTTACTCCCGGTTAGACCAAAACCGGACGGTTTTTGAGTTGAACCGGTTTTACCGTGAAAACCGGCCGGAACGACTCTTTCACTACAAACCAGCTATCGTTTCAACCAGGCGCCAGTTTTCGGTTTTACCGGTTCAACCGGTCGGTACGATCCGGTTTCCTTTACCCTGGAAATTAGACAGGGAAACAGAAGTGGGGCAAGAGCGAGACTACATTGAACTTTTGAGGAACTGGGAAATATGTGGTGTAGGAAGTATAGGGTGTCCGAAGAATCAGATCCCTCATTGTGTCATAAAAGCAGTGTTATTAAAGCCGAGCCGTGCCGCTCGGCCCGACCAGTAAAACCGCCACCCGGTCACAAAATCGGCTCGGAACAGTCTAAAAGCCGCTCCGGTTTTATGTAGCGGTTGGCGAGCGGCCGAGGCGGTTAGCCGTTCGAGCCGATCGAGCCGTTCGTCCGGTTTTTGCCATTCAACCACTAAATTTAATTAAAAAAATTGTAGAAAATTGAAAATTGAAAAAACCCAAAAACGTCGGGCTCTCAAATTGAATCCTTATTTCCATTTCACAATTTCGAGGGAAAGAGATGATATCTGATTAAGAAATGTCCACTATTTATACTGATAACGTTTATTAGGTACCGGTTCTCTAACGATTTTTAAACGGTCTAATGCCGGTTGGACCACTAAAGTGCGAGCCGTTCGCATTACCGGGTCATGCTCCGGTTCGGTTCTGACAACATTGCATAAAAGATTATGTGCCCGCCTCTTAGCTTAAGGCTCGAACTGCACTAGCTTAACAGGAGAAGCCACAAAAGAAAGATGGAGGTAGGCAGGATGATGGTGTTTCTGGGAAGAAATCTGATGGATAAACCAGACAAAGTGATGAAAAATGGGGCTAGATTACTGGAGGTCAAGCTACAAATCAAGCCAAAATGCACCAATCTGGGCTACTTAATATACTAGGTGGTTTTGATAAGATGGTTTACTCTCTAGAAGCTCTGGTAGCCTGGAGAAAGAAGCAAAAAAGAGTGGAGCAAGGAAAAGAACACATGTGAATCCCAGGAGGGCAATGCCCCCCAAAACCCACCAGTCACTGTCCAAAAGAAAAACCTTGATGTACATACACTACAAGAAAAGGCTTGTTTAATGACGGCCACATAGCGACAGGCAATATAAACGTGGGTATATGTACAGATTCGACGGAGGCATTGTGCCGTTTAGATGGCCGTCGGGAAATTCTCGATTTTTATCCGATATTATCTTTTCATTTGTGAATTTTATTCCGTTATTAAAAAAACAAATATTATAGAATCCGAGAATCGAAATTCTGAAACTTTATGCCCTTTTCTCTCTCCCACACAAGAAAATTTCTCTGACCGACTCGCGTAGCGCTCTGCAATCCATACTAAAAAAATCCCCCAACTGATTCTCCTCTTCTTCGAATTCGATCGACTCATTAGTGAATCTGCTTCGCCGGTCGGCTCCTCTTAATCCTCTAACTTCATCTTCTCCCCTGGCTCTTCTAACAAGAGTTGAATCTAGGGTTTCGCTTAATTAAGGGGAAGCATGGCGATTGAAGAAGATTCGCTGAGTGGAATCAACAACCGCGAGCTAGGATCATACGGATTGGAGCTTGCACGAGGTCGAATTCATCACTAGCTTTGGATTAACCCTCTCACCTTTCTGATATGGGGGCCGAAGCAGTGGGGAGGAGCGAAGAGGAGTGAGAAGGAGATTTGTAAGCGAGAACGTGTTTTTAGGTTAATGGTCGATTTCGTTATCTGATTCTGCGAAGGT